ACACACACACACACACACACACACACACAAAAAAAAAAAAAAAAAAAAACGGGTGGGGGGGAAGAAGATATAACAACTACAATTTCTTTGAAGGTGTTACAACAAGCAAACGGAAAGGACATTCTTGGGTGGGAGGGGGGCGAGGGAGGAGGGAGGGAGGTTTCGGTGACGGGTCATAATAATCAACCACATTGTATATTGACAAAAAAAAAAAATTCAGTTAGACAAGAAGGTACAATGTGAATATTAAGGATCCCCTCTATGCCAGATCCTGCCCTTTTTCACCCCTCTGCCATAATCACTATTACACGTTTCATGAATTTTTATGTAAAAAGGCAAAAATGTTTATCTCCAAATTTAAAGAGTTTACAAAAAATGAGATGATACCATGGATGGTATCCATATTGTTATCCAACTTACTTTCCTCACTTACCAGTATACCACATTTGAGTACACATCTTTCTCATTTTTATTTTTTAAACACCTGCACTATATTCCATTAAACAAAAGTTCCATAGTTTATTAAACTGGCAGCCTATGACAATGTTGAGGTTGTTTCTAGGGTTTTGCTAGACAATATTACAAAGATCATTCTTATACATTTATCATTATGTATATCATTTACAATAAATTTGTACAAGTGGAATGTCTGGGTCAACAACTTTTTACATGTTGTTTTACTAGATATTGCCAAAATGGGCTTTAAAAATGTTATCCTAATTTACACTCCCAATAATAGTGAAGGGCAGTGATTCTGTTTCCAGACAATCATCAATATGATATACAAACTTTAATCTTTGCCAATCAACCAAGTGAAAAAAATCTCATTCTTGCTTTAATTGTATTTCTTTGGCATGGGAGTGGTTGAATATCTGTTCATATTATAACTGGTTATTTGTGTTTCTTTTTTAGTGAAATGCCCTTTGGGTTTTTATATATTCATAATATTAATACTTTGCCTAATCTGTGTTAAAAATATTTTTTCTATTTTATTACTTATAATCTTGGCTATTCAAGACTGTTACAGTTCTTATTAGATAGATTTGGCAACCTTATCTTGTATAAACCTTAGCTTTATCATCATATGTGTAAGACTTTCCTTCACACCACACCTCTTATTCCCCTTTGGCTTTTTAGTATTTCTACAGTCTTATTTTTCACATTTATATATTTGAACAGTCTGAAGCTATTTTGATATAGGTAATAATAAGGGCTCCAGCTTTATTCTTATTTTCAACACCTAACTATTGGTCCTAACACTAAGCATTGAACGATCATTTCTCCATCAAGATTAATTTCTCATATAAAAATACCCAAATATATTTAGGTTTATTTATGTAAACTTACTTTAAAAACCCATACCTCAGACATGTTAGCAATACACAAAATTATGGCTACGCGGAAAAAGCACATTCTATTGGTGTATGGTCAACCCAGGAATCTATAATTAACAATAATTTACTGCATCTTATCAACTAGAAGAGATCAAATGTTCACAGCACTAAAAAATGATTAAGTTTCACAATGATGAATATGCCAGTTACCCTGATTAGATCTTCACACACTGTATACATGTATTGAAATATAAGTCTATATCCCATAAATATGAATAATCAATTTTTTAAAAATCAACATTTAATATTAAGGAAGGAAAGTACTGTGAACTAAATAAATCTTCTTAAAGGAAAATTTTCCTAATTTTTCATTAGTAAGAATTAGATAATATCTCAAAAGCAATGTTTTTTTAAGATTTGTTTTGGCATATTTAGATATATAAAATAATCATCTATAAATGTGTAACTTCTACATAATTTACATATTATATAGCTGATATGTTCTCTAATGTTTATTACTTTTCAACTCTTTCCTCCTTCTTTTCCCCATGCATGAGCATATATGGTCCTTATAAATTATCCAAGTTATAATAAATGGGCCAGAAATAAAATGTACCTAGAAACAAAGTGCAAAAGTGAATAGTTATTGAAATACTAATAGCTTCTGGTGATATCTGAACACATTGGGCTTTAGATTTAGTAATTTTAAAAAATGCCAGATAGAGCAGAACATTTCATAGCTTATCTTTTCTTGAAATCTAATAAGTATTCTAGATCATATACTCATTCTTTATGTTGTACTAAGTGACAATGTTTGGATTGAAGCATATAAAATTGCCATTTTTTTAATTTTAAAAATAGATGAATATCAGTAATTTCATATGGTTGAACCTGATGATAACCTAAGTCAAGGAAGTTTTTTAAAAGTACTTCTTAATAGGAAGTAGATTATCTGGGAGAATATAATTGAATATGCATTAAAACAATAACAGGGAATTGTACATCTTTTACACACAGTGCCTTACACATTCTAAACTATCAATAATCCCACTCTTCAAAGGATGAATATATATTTTCTAATTATACCCTATATAAATGAACAGTTTTTGAATATTCTATTTCATCTATATGCTCAACATTTATTGAACATCTATGATATACTAAGCATTATGCCAACTGCCATAGAGTACATATGAAGATTTCATGATTTCTAGCAAGAAAGCCAGACCTCTAAATAAATGATTTTAATACCATAGGATAAATATAATAATTGAAATATAAAAAAGCACTGTCAGGTCAGAGACAGAAGCAATGAACAATGTCTGGGAGAATGTCAGGTGGCTTCTTCAGTATTATTCTTGCCCTGTCACTATAAACAAAGGAGAAAATCCCATTTAAAGTACTATATTAATTACCATTTTTCCTGAAATCTGTAGTTATCAGTTACCTCCACGTATAGACCATGCTTGTGTGTGTAAATAATTACATGCACAAAAGGACTTTTAAAAATCTTCCTAAATTGACAAAGATATACTGTCATAGTTAAACCTTTAGTAATTACATATTTGAACAGGGAAAGGGCACAATAATATCTGACATATTAATTTAGAACTGGTTTGAAGACATCAGACATCCCTATTTTGTCTGTACTGGCTTTTCTTAATCATCTGTGGCATTTTCAATTTAGAACAGGCAAGAGTAAATAATTCTTATCAGTTCAGTTAAATGGTCTGGACCCTCAGAGGGAAATGCTATGCACATAAAACTACTACTGTCCGGTTGGGTAATTTTTACCTTTTCCAAGTGAAACCTATGTATTTTAATGCTTCTTCAGCTAAACAATCAAGAACATAGCATACATGTTCTCCATAACCTGACTTTAATTTTGAAGGAGGAAAATCTGCAGTTCTCCCCTGAAAAACAAAAGACAAACAGGGTAGTATTTGTCAGTTATATTCCAAATGTCAAAATATTTTAAACAAAGAACTGCCAAATAGATGTATCACTTTTCTATTTTTCAAATGATTAAAAATAACTGTAATTACATTGATTCTTAGAAACCCATCTCTTAAGTCTTTTAAATCCATTCATACATTAAAAAAAAAACTAAAGGAAAATAAAGATGCTTTATTGTTAAAAGTGCCAAATTAAAAGGCAGTAACATCATAGCAGCAGAACAAATCTTTGATCTTGTTGGGGTGGGGAAAAAAAAGCAGTAAAACTACTAGGTTGGTAACACATCATTTAAGCAACTATGTGAAGGACAGAGTGATTGATTTGTCAAAAATTAATAACATGTGTGCCAAAAAATGTCTTACTGCCTCTCCTCAGGAAAAGTCAGAAATGAAAAGTACAACTGCTATCATGGTCTATTAAATCACAGTTCCCTTTCAAAATACAATTGTTTTGACTTCATAGTTTATCATTTTTTAAAGGGAGAAGTAATCACTGATAAATTTACCTGAGACATATCAAGCTTAAGATAAATATTACTACTTTGGTCTATAAAAAATATATACTGAACATTTTCAGAAGTAGCATTAATATCAACCATTCTGAGGTTCTACCTAAAAGTAAATTCAGATATAATTATATATATATGTATATTCACATAGGTGTCATCTAAATGGCTAGTATTTGTTATTCAATTACCGATATTAAAATTCATAACTTGAGAACATGCAGAAAGACAGTTGTTTACACTTACAAATGACCGAAGCTCAGATAATATGTTAGATATTGTTGCATTAGGGTCATCATATTCTTGAGGTTGCTCAAAGGGACGTCCTGCTTTGTTAATCAACCAAGCAGCAAGAGTGCAAAACATGTAGAACTGTTCACCAGGATTAGTGGGCAGTGCAAAATAGTGTCTGTTTCAAAACAAGGGGAAATGAGAGAATGTGAAATAATGCAAATAAGTCCATAATAACTAAGGGGGCCAAAAACCAAAATTGCCAAAGAACATCCTTCCCTCTCCCACTGGCTTTCAAATCCAAAGACATTGATAATTCACCCTTTGAAGTTTTCAATAATCCACAGCACTCACAAAAAAAGTTTTTAATCAGCAGGATTAGGGCCATTACTACTATACTCAAAATACAAATATTAGATCAAAGACCTTACGCCAGGAAATGTAGTACATGTTAGAAAACAAAGCATATGGAACTTTTGCCAAAATCATTGAAGAGTCAGGAATAATTAACAAGTGACTAAATCCTACAAATGGCAATCTGGAATTAAGAGAATCTCAGAGTTAAAAAAAATTAAAAAACACCTTAAAATTATTCAGTATGCATTTTTACTGTTTCTAACCTTACTTACCAGCTATGTTAAACAGTCGTTCTCATCTTGGCCACATAATATTTGAATCACCTGAGCAGCTCACAAAAATACTGCTACCCAGCCAAACATTGCCTCTTCTTTCATCTATGTATTAAATCAGAACTTCTGGGAGTGGAGCCCCAGGACAGGCATGTTTCAAAAGCTTTCTAGAGGGTTCTAAGGTGCAGCCAGGATTAAGAACCTTGAGTGTCACATCCCCAGTGTAACAAACATTTGTTGACTTTTGCTAACTCCCCTAGTCAACTAAAAACAGTCCTATGAGAATCAGTATAATTTATAACAAAATATAATAGAAATAAAACTTGCTAGCAACAACATTCAAGTCATTTTGATCAAAGATCTTATTTTGGTTTTTTATGTGTAGCTATCACTACTATGTTTATAATGTATTTATAGCTACAATAACCACTGCCATAAGTATCACTGGTCTACTACTCCTTCATGTTTCCCAAACTTTTTCCTGCAGGATGGGTCAATGCTCTAGAAGATAACAGAAAGCTGGAGAGGAAAAAATGTCCTTCCAGGTATATACTGACAACATCTTTTCCTTATGTGCTGATAACTCCTCAAAGACAGAGGAAAGGATACTGATAGATACTGCAGAGCTAAGGACAGTGATTTTCAAACATTAGCATGCATCAGAATCATCTGAATGGCTTGTTAAAACAGACCCCACCCCTAGAATTTTTAAAAAGACAGACCTGGGAAAAGGTCTGAGGAATTTCATTTCTAATAAGTTCCCAGATGATGCTGTTGGTCTGGTGATCACACTTTGAGAACCAATAGACTAGGATATCTCCACACAAACCAGTGATTCAAAGTATCCTGCTGAACACCTGAGGAAACAGTCCAGAGAGAGGATATCAATAGAACCAATGACCATTTTCTTTTAGTTTAAAAAATATACTTGGAAAAAAAAATGCGTTTTTATTAACATAGAAAATGTTGGTTGTCTATATTATCCTAACCATTTTAAGTTATAATCCCAATCCTACCATTTATCTCATGGTGAAGCAACACTGCATTTTCCTCTAACTTTTCTCCTATTATGGACTAACTCAACAATGTGGACAGTTTACACAAAGCCTGCATATCTTTCAATTCGAGTTAGTGAAAGAAGAGGAAGAAGATCAAAACTGTCAAGGGAAATCATTTGAGCTCAGCTATAGACGTTAAGAAAAAGTACTATATAGATTCTTAATCTTAATTGCCTCTTACAGAATAAACAAATGTAAATATTAAAATGAAGGAAAAGCTACAAAACTTATCTGGCTATCGCTAAACTACACTTATTAGAGAAGAAACTGCTAGCTGTCCATTACCCTCAGCAAACTAATGGCACTGCCTCCAGGATATTAGGGACTTCTTTTCCACCAGAACAAGGGCAGAACTTTACGTTCTGTGATAAAACAATTCTAATAGTTGTGATTTCATTGGTCTTTTCCACTTCTCACTTTCTGAAAGTACTGTTAATACAAAGGGAGAAATCTTTTAAACCATACCAATTAGTACCCGTTTACTAACTATATGTAAAGTGCTCTTCAGCAAGGTCCTAGATACCCACGGTTGCCCGTTGTAGAGACAGGGTCTCGCAAAGGAAAACAAAAACTAGAAATAGATCTAAATGGTAATGAGATTATACGTTATGTTAGTATTTTTCTTGTCTTTTTCTGAGTTTTCTACAATGGGTATTTTTATTACCTTTATAATCAGAAAATAGTTTGTGTTTTGTGGAGGTGTGTGTGTGTTGTAAGGAACGGGCCAGTCGTCTTACAGTTCTTTCTGCCATTCCAAAACTAATTTACTCTCTCTACAAAAATACCAAGTCTGAGCTCCGTGAGCTCCAGGGCCTTCCGTCGCCGAATTTGGGGTGAAGAGGCCTTCCCTGGCTAGGAAGATAGAGGCACGGACTTGCTAACCCGCGCTCGGTGTTGCGGCGGACCGAGGAAGGTATCTCCCCAGGGCGCAGCCGGCACCTAGGCGCTCGGGGACGTGGGCACCCACCTGGAGGGGGGTTTCAGGTTGTTCTTCCGGAGGAGTTCCTCCTCGTAGCGGAGCAGCTTCAGCTTCTCCATCAAGTCCTCCATCACCACGAACATGTGGTAGGCCGCGCCGGGCCCCCGCTCCACAACCACCTCTCCGGCCCCATCGCCGCGGGACCGAGACATCCCATCCTCCAAACCCGATGGCGTGACCACTGCCGCAGCGGCAGCCATCGCAGGACAGACAGAAAGAGCCTGACGTGGGCTTCGGCCCACAGACTTACGCGGCCTACGCCGCCTGCGGTGCCCCAGCCAGGACCGCCGCGACCTGTTACCAGGCGACCGCCGGGCAACCCGTCACCAGGGAAACTAGACTCCGCCTCTTTCCCGCCCTCCATGTTTCTTCTAAATTCTCTCCAACCAGGACGGGCTTCCTTACTGACGTCACACTATGCCCGCCCCTTTCCCGCTTCTGCGGAGGTGGCGGCCGGAGGGCAGTTCCGCCTCTCAGGGAGGCGTGGCGTCCAGAGCCCTACCTCCTCCAGCTGCGCCTTAAAGGCGGAGGAGAGGTGGCTGGAGTGTCTGCTCTCTTTGCCTGGTGGTTGTTAGCTGGCTTGAGGCGTGTTGGATCTGGCGATTACTAAGGGCAGTTGAGCGGGCATCTGAGTCAGCTAGTAGCAGTTAAAAATATCAAAGGTAGAATAAGACGCGTAGTATTGAAGTCTGCACTAGCCCACTGATCTTTTTTTTCTCTCAAAATTGAAAGTTTTCATAGTTGTAAGGATAGTCGATATATAGGTTTCACTTTGTCTCCAGAGCTTTCCAACAAGAGGATTTTTGTTTTTTTGTTTTGTTTTTTAACTTAATCTTTCTGTCATTAGGTAATGATGTTTTTAAGATATATTATAAGGCTCGAAGTATTACAGTGCCCCGCTGTTATTCCTGTGCTAGGGAAGTGGTTGGTTGGAAGGAGGTGGGAAAGAAGACAGAGGATGAACAAAGATGAAGCATTGGGAAGCATTTGTTCTACTTTAAAGACAATACTAGGCTCACATCCTGCTGCTGCTTAGTCTGTTTCAAGCTCATTACATGTAGTATAAAGTTTTGAGGTACTTTGTTAAATCTAACAAAGATTGTCTTGAATTTCCCTGCACTATAGCTCTAAGTGTGGCTAAAGACAGGGTGTTACTACTGTATTCTGCAGCTGTTGATTTAGAAAATGCAGGAAAGGGTACATAACTGGCCACAGATGTGGCCCAGCTTTACAGTTCTCAAAAGGCTGTTTATCAAGCAATTTTCCTAACAGCCACATAGAAAATGAGGTAAGTGGTAGATGCCTGGCTGTTTCTTGGAGAAAGATAACTGAAGGAAATTAGTTGAACACGTGTTCGTGCTTATACTATGACTTTTAAGTAATCTCTGATCTCTTGTATCTGTCACTAAACAATATAAAGGTCACATTTTTGACATAATTGAAATTTGAAATCTATCGGTAGTATCTTTTGTGTTAGAAAATTGAGAAGAGCACACTTTTCATTTTAATCAGTCTACAGAAACAAGTTAGTTTCTGATCCTAATAAAGGTATCAAAATGAAAAATTAGGTAGACAAATACCATTTTCTATTCATTAAACAAAGAAGACACATAAAAGTACTGATTTATACAGAAAACTTAAAGGGGAAGCCCGCTGAGAATTACTTTTTAAATAATATTATTTGCCTACTAAAAGTCATTAAACAGCTGCTTTTAGTAAAGATGATTGGGAAAACTGGGTTTGACTCTATGGCACTGCTGAATTGCTCTTTCCTTTTTTAACCTTCTTAGAAGACAGTGATTCTCCCTCCATACATCCATACCTCAACCACCACCTGTGTGGGCTGGGGGTGTTGTGATACCTCAGTGTAAGGTTCGAAGTCCAAGATAGATGTATAGCTTTTCAGGATTAAAAAAAGAAAAAACTCATACATTTTGGGGTAACAAACCAGCAACCTGTGGCTTTTAAAATGACCCTGAAAAAGCTCTCAGATTTTAAAGATAAGTTGGTTATGCTGAGGGAGATAGATGTTCAAACAGAGCATGTTGCCTATGTAAAGCACTCTGACATTTTAAGGAAATTATATAACAACAGTATGAAACAGTCAAATGTTGCTTTTTGGCTGACAAAGAATCCTCCTACAACGTATGTATTTTGACTTGGGAGGAAGTAAAACCTTCAGAACCTAGCCATTTCCTTCCCAGATACATTACTGACACAGCCTGGCTTGAAAGCAGTATGAAGAATTATTTTTTCCCTTAATTGTGGAGAAAAAGACTAAAATATAAAATATCCTCAATAACTGTAGCACAGAGAGAATGAAAGAAAATAAATGCCATTGTTCAACACTGCATGTTTTCCCACAGGAAAAAAAAAAAATGGGAAAGAACACTAAAATGTTATTCATTTTTATAAAGCCCAGGGATTATTTTTGCTGATTCTTTGGTTACCCATTATAGTTGGTAACACATTAAAGGTCTTTTTCTTGATGGAAGTAGTTTCCTTCATGTGTATGAAAATGCACACTCATGTCCTCTTCTAGCTGTGTCAGCCACTTGGAAGATTTGGAGTATATTTGTATTCATTTTTTAAAGGACTAGCTCATTTGTTGACTAAGATCTTAGACCCTGAAGAGAATAGAATGTTGAGGTGTATTCGTACTTCCTGTAAAGAATCTTAAGAAAAATTTATCTCTCGTTCTACTGTATTGACCACTATTCTCTGGCTAGGCTAAGGCCTGGAATCCTCACAGCGCTGATTGTCTAGCTCTTAATCCTGTTCGTGACACCAATTGTAACAATACTTGACCACGACCACGCTAGTTGTGTCTCTTTTACCTGCTGGTAATCCTGCACTGACTGTGCCAATTGTGGAGTTAAGGCTGGGTCTGGAGCCCACAGACCCTCAAGCCCATTCACAGACTGGGTCACAAACCCTTCACATGCCAGGCTGAGTCCCCAGACCCCTTCACGCAGGTCTATGAGCTAGGTAACTGGCCAAAAGGACCTTGGAAGCTGCAGGTTGGAAAGCATGGCTGTCCTCGGCAGACACCCAAGGCCAACACCCACCCGCCTGCTTCACCAAACTTTCTTTCTCTCCTCCCTCTTCCTCTCTCTCCCCCGAAGAACACAAGAATAGCAACAAAACTAAAAAGATACATTGGTGCACATGCACACTGCACTAACTCCACACACACGCAATTTGCTTACAAAAGATGCTGAACCACACCCAAGTGGACCCAAGGTGAGGGCCCTGACCAAACTATTCTGTTTCCCCAACAACTGTGAATAGTCTGACTTTGCTTTTTATTTCATGCAAACTATCTATGAAATGATTGTAGGTAATTTTGTAGACCCTTAGGTCTTTCTGTTAATGGGCTAATCTCTGAAAACTAAACAGCATCTCAATCAAAACTGATTTATGCTAACTGGATTTCCCTGAAGGGTGATTAGCAAAGCTGGGGGTGAAAAGGAAGCAGGTTCAGAGATGGAGGAAGGCTCTCCAGCTGCCTCTCCAAATATAAGAGCAAGTCGTCCAATACGACTGGGCAGGATTAAAGAATAAAGCTGCTTTGTGTTATAAATGGCTTAGTAACACCCATTGGGGATATTAAAATCTTAGAAAATCACTCATTGAATAAAACTTCTTTGAAGCTACAGAGGAGGAAAAACTTTTAGCCTCTTTGGTTCTGTAGCTGGGCCTGTGAATTAAACTGACATAAGACAAATTAACAGGAGAAAAAGCACACAAGTTGTATTTTGATATTTTTATATGTACACAGGATCCTTCATAGGAAAATATCTCAAAGAAGTTGCTTACATAGCTTTTTCTTAAAAACAAAGAATGACACTTTTGTAGAGAAGTAACAAGACAAAGGAAAAGGGGTTTAAGATTCTAGGGGTGATAAATGGTGAAAAAGTGACTAGGAAATACATGGGTGAAACTAATGGAAGATAAGGATTATTTTAAAAGGTTTGTTTGTACAGACCCATTTCAGCATCAACTAGTAGTATCCAGTGATAAAAATGTTACTCTCTTACTGATATAGGAAGGCATCTTTCTTAAAGGAAATTTTATGACCTGCTTTTAGGTAGAAAGGGGGAGGTCAGAGAGCCCTTACTGTATCTGCTGTTTCTCAAGTGTCTTCAAGTCAAAATATTCAGTATGCCACAATGGGGTGTCATGTTCTAACCCCCTTCAACCTAATAAAAAGTGTCTGTCAAAAACCTAGAAATATAAAAAGGCATATTTATATGTGAAGCCTTAAAGGTGATGCCTTTTAGAGCAAGGTGAAGATATTCACTCTTCAGGACTGTACTAGAGATCAGAGTCATTGCACTGAGACAAAAAAAAAAAAATAAGAGTACATATTGCAGAAGAAGAAACTATTGCAGGTAATATGAGTAAGTAAAAAATTCAAGAGAATCTACATACGAGCTTTTATGACAGCTCAGAAAGTTTGCCATATACAAGATCCAAAGTTGAGATAGAAAAACAAACAAAAACTTTAGTAACAAATGATATATAGCACCCAGGAATAAATCTATCATTATCTTTATGAAGAAATTGTTAATCTTCAATGAAAGTTGTTGGAGAGCTAGGGCTGGGTTCTGGAGCTCACAGACCCCTCAAGCCCATTGTCCAGACTGGGTCACAAACCCTTCACACAAGGTCTACAAGCTAGGTAACTGGAAGAAAGGTCCTTGGAGCATTGGTTGAAGAAAGAGTAGTCTTTATTTCTGCACACACACACATCTGAGAGCTAGACAGTCCAAAGAGAAACTCCAAAACTCAACTGCTACCGGCAAAGACCAAAGAAAAACTGAGCAGCTGCCAGCAAGGTAAACATGCTCTCTTCTTAGATGCAAGCTCTCTGCAGACCAGCAGTTCAGAGCCCCTACTCCACACACTCTAGAACACACAATAGCAACAAAACTAAAAAGATACATTGGCGTGCATGTGCACTAACTCCACCCCCCCACACAATTTGTTTACAAGGAATGTCCTGCACCACACCCAATCAGACCTGAGGCAAGGGGGCCTGATCAAACTATTCTGTTTTCCCAACAGTTATGGAAAAATCCAAATAGGAATACAATGTTCATGAATGAGAAAAATCAGTATATTTGCCCAATCTATAAATTCAGTACAGTTTCAACTAAAATTCTAAAACAGCTGATCCTGAAATTCACATCTAAGAATAAATTTTATTTTTATTTTTATTTTATTTTTCTTTTTAAAAGATGACCGGTAAGGGGATCTTAACCCTTGACTCGGTGTTGTCAGCACCACACTCACCCAATGAGCTAAC